AGCTTTTCAATGGGGATCGTGAATTCCACTGCCTGAACAACATGGGGTCCGCCATGATCTATCTAATTTGGTTTTGACTCTAACGATATCACACAGTTAGGACATAGTTGAAAATTTACAGTAGTTCTTACGTGCGTAATTTTTTGTGAATTTCGTTAGTAAAAACGCAGCCAAGATAATCACGTAATCGAAAACAAGCGAAATTAGTGTTACTGAGTATATGTAGTGCATTGACTTCTTTTCAATATGCTAACCTCACATCGCTCGCTATGCAATCTTTTTATAATTTTCTGGTGAAAAATGCTTTCCATGATGTCTATAAACATCCATTAATTCGTTCATTTTGTTGTTGCTGATATATACTGGAACCGGTCGGTACACTGGTTTCGGCTGGCGTTAGTCAGCAGTGGTGCCCTCGTTATTAGTAATGACCTCAGTTACTGGTTAAGCTCAACGTGTGGTGCACAAATAAGTGCATGGCGCGAACATAGTAGGGTGTGTGCTAGACCCAGGTTACGATGACCTTTGACCAGCCACCGATCATTCGTATAAACGGGCAATGCAGCAGCAGTTATCGATCGATGGGAGACCTTCTATTATATATATGCGCGAGCGTCACTGTTTATGACACTCAGCCATATCATTCAGTGTCTTTTACCATTGATTGTAATTATCCCGATGTCCTCCATCCAGGGAGCCTAACGTCATCTTTGTGTGCGAATCTATCGATCAGGGTTCTTATACCCTCGCGCCAAGTCTTACTTTCACCATCGTCCATTTTTTCACCCACAACCTGCCTCGGCAATTAACGCGCGCCGTGGTAACCTATTCGGTGACACCCCAAACAACGTAGTCTATGGAAATCGAGCACTTGCTCCAATGGGCGATCGTGATTAGCTAACACTCTGCCTCGGCATTTCTCGCCCAGTTTCTCTGGTAAACCCGTGAAATGCGGTGCAGACAGCGGTGTTAGAACACAGTCTATCTTAGTCATGTTTTCGTAGTGACCAAATTTCCTCACCGTATAAAAGAACTAGCCAAAAGCTGTATTATACACTCAACCCTTCATTGACAACCGGATATCAGGACGGCTGTCTTAATTTGTAAATGTCAATCGAGCCCTCTGTATTCTTATCGGTACTTCATCCGTAATACTTCCGCCTGGTGAGATATACCTGCCCAGATAGCAAAATGTGTTCACTACCTCTATTGTTTTCCCAGTTCTAGTAGAGACTTGACCGGTAAACGATTAAAAGTGGATGATCAATAAAACGGCTGTTGCCCTATCAGTTAATCTCGAGAAAATTGAATGACCCGCCTTTAACGATAGAATTTTTAGATAACAGTGAATTTAGGTCTACGACAAAGCAAACTGTTTAGATCAATGAGTTGTGCAACCACGTAAGCCATCGCACCAAATCGGGATGTTATGTCATCATGATGCTTGTATTTATGAGCTAATAACTGTAACTTTGGTTATTCAAGTTGTACGAATATCATTTTGAAATGCCCGGGTATCATTTCTGTTTGTCTGATCACCATTTAAAGTGGTCTGATCCTCATTTGAAGTTGCCTGATCAGTATTTCAAGTGGTCTCATTGACCTCTTCGAAGTTGCCAGGCTCGTGCACTTTTAAAACCATCCTTTAACATAGACTTCTCAATCTCCGGTTGAAGTGTGAGGATGACAATTGTAAAACGTACCTCGATCAGACAAACCCCAAATCCCATGACATATCATGGTTGTTTAATTAACTGTTACGTGCAGGCGTTTCTGTGTTTGTGTGTTCGTCCCCCTTCCCCTGAAAAGTCATATTGGACCATGTTACGATGACACCAGCGAATCATGTGCGATCAACGCATGAGCCACTACTTACAACCATCACAACAGGTTCCAGAGCTACACTTCAAGCCAATGCAGTAAGACACCAAACGATCATACTAAATCAATATACTCATAAATGTCGGCCAGATTCACATGCACTGTGTTCAAGACTTGCAAGTCATATTCCATCTCTGTGATCCCATCACAGAAGTACCTTCGAGCATTGAACATCAAAACCGAAAGAAGATAAATGTCGCGAGGCGTTAGCCATTTCGCTTAGTCTTCTCAGTTGCTGACGTGAAACAAACAAGCAAATTTATAGCACAGTGGATTTACAAATCTGATGTGAGTGAGACCAAACTGTCGACCAAAGTAAATGGTTACACATCCGGAAAACGGAGATTATTAAAGGAAGTTAGACATGGTTACCGAATATCAAGGGTTCGATATAATAATGCAATAATGGGAGTTTAATACCCAGGAGTAAAATGATAACTGTTCAATTTCATAGGATACATCAGCGTGGTTGAGCATGTTTTATTTTCTTGCAGTTATCTACTTGGCTCATCAAATTTGGTATCCATTATTGGTAGAATGTATCAAGCATCAAGAAATGGCTTCAATATATTCAAGGAAAAATGGCTGGTTTATCAATTACAAGTCAATAATAACTTCATCTTTGGTGTATCTTTGATGTATATTTGGTAACACAACGTAAACTCACTTCTGCCTTGGCAACAGT